TTCAGAATAGGCCCCTAAATCGTAATCTATCTGCAGTAAGGATAGCAACATCATACAACCAAGTGTTGCAAATTATGAGTAAACTGATTGCAAATTCAAACATCATAGTACTTTCCTTCAATGGGGGATAAGCAAACACACAAAAATCAAATTGGACACAATACAGCTCATTTGACAGCAATAACAGCTTGAATGACCCATATCTTGAAATTTTAAAACTCCGAAAGTTTAAAAACTGGACAATATGAGAGTTGAATCTCCCCACAACTTACCTGCGCCAAAGCAGGAAGAACTGGTTTTCCCGTACTTTCCAGAAACCCACAGCAGTCACCAATAGAGAACACATCCTGCACAGAAGGGATGCGTAGCCACTCATCAACACCAATCCTGTAAGCACAAGGAGTCTCATCAACACCCTTCCAGTAAATTGAACTAAAAAATTCATAAATAACCACAGAGCAAAGACTCGTTAGGAACAATTTCAGAAATGGAAAATGCAGACAAGCACAAGTAATTAAGATGCAATGTCCTAAAAGATAGAAGCAGTAATGAAGCAATCCTATCAAGTTAAATGAAAACTTAAAAAAGAACCATAACAAGCTCAGAAGGAATAAGAAACAAGAAAAAGAAACAAACGAATAAGTATTTATGGTCTAGGCATTTCACACACACATCTCTAATGTTTTCTTAATTTGCCACCATGTCCTCTTAGTCACCACAAGAAGTTTAAATTCAGCAATAAATGGCAGACACTAAGAAGATAGGCAGTTTAGTTTTCAACACATCATAAAGAACTTACCTTCCAGAGGGAGATTTTGGAACTTCTAGAGAATTCACAAAACCTGAGGGACCAACGCCTGTAGACCACACTAACAGGCCATATGGAACATCTGTGCCATCAGTCAGAATTATCTTCCGCGGTTGAACATCCTTGACAATGCCACGGACAAGACGAACTCCCGACTGAGAGAAACTAATAGATTAAAAAAGGAAAGGTCCAGACATTATAGGGGAAAACTATCAGAACATGTTGTAACATAAATGACAGATATAACTGCAATTAGATGTGCCTTTGATGTTCAGGCAGATGAGCAAGAACCTTGAGACATAGTGCAAATGTACAGCAACCCCCGCACCACCCACAAGCCCCCCAAAAATCCTAAAAATATCAACAGTACCAAAAATGGAAAAAAGGAAAAACTCTGAAAACTCACAGTAGGATTGGGTGTTGGGGTGGGGGGTTTTGGGTGCTAAAATGAAGAACAGAAGAATTCAAAATGGCTCAATAATCATCACATCAGCATATAGATCACCTAAATATCATCATATCAACCAAGCCATGTGTTTGAGGACATAATATATTTTGCAAAGCCCTATGGAAACCATCGTAAAGCAGGCATATGAATGGCTTTGAGGCACATTAGCGGGTTGGTCGTGTATTACCAGAATCCCAGAAATCGAGTGATGGCTGTGTGTAAAATATCATAGCATTGTACATATCAGTGAGGTTATAAGATTTGTTTCCCAATTTTGCGATCAGGAAATGTGAGGTTGTAGAGATGAGCAGAGAACCCCCTTGTATATTGCCTTTAGTATGTCGTCCTTGTAAGAAAACATTTGGAGGAGAACTAATACTCTATGGTTTGCTGGCATGAAAAGATGCTTTATATAGGACATTCAAACTCCAAACATGACAAGATCCTTCCATGTGATAGTAAGCAGTAAACATGACCAGATCCTTCCATGTGAAAGTATGCAGTAAAAATGAACATAAACAAAGGTTGAGCAAGGAATGATAACGACATCTTCAAAATTTTTGATATGGTGAACAATATCTTCAGATTAAGTCATTATCTCTCACCTTGGTTAGCTGCTTAGTCGCATATTGCCGAAGGCGATCGTCAAAGGAAGATAATATCTCATTTGCCTGTAAAAAACAACATTTTGATTAATGATAACTTCAATAACACATATTGATCAAGTCAGACACGAGTGTTCATCACAATAAAATTGGCCTAAAGGAAACTGAAAATTTTGGCTGGCCTAGTGCATATGCAGGCAAAGCATGAACTCTAGTCGGAATCATGCAGAGGAATAGAGATGTATCAAGAGATCAATATGAAATATCAGATACCAAAATTTTGGTTAGCTAACCTCAATCAATGTAACACGGATATAATCTTTCACGTGGGCATATCTTTGATGAACATCCCTAGTGATAAAATCACTAAGTTCACCACTGAACTCGACTCCAGTTGGACCGCCACCAACAACAACGCAGTGAAGTAGTCTAAGCTTTTCTTCATCACTGACCCCTACGCCAACCCATATCCAACAGAGTATTTCAAAGTTAGAACATACTCATACATTCCATTTGCCACAGATTCACTATCTCAGAAGCATACCAGGCACATCCGACAGCATCAAGTTTAATAGTAACTTCCTCCGGATTTCTTGAGCATGATGAACTTCACGGAGAAAAATTGCGTGCTCCTTCACACCCTTTATCCCGAAAGTAGAAGCCTGTGCTCCAGATGCGATGACTAACTTATCATATGAAAGTTTGAAGCTCCATGGGTCTGGGATATCTACTCCATCAGTCACAGTTTGGCAGTGCACCTTGTATAACATTATCAAATTGCTTAGATTACGCCATTACTAGTCGATTACGCACAACTCAACAAAGCCTTTCAACTCTAAAGTTACTTTGCTACATTTCGAAGTACTATATACTCCTTTGGGGCCCAACTTTGTTTTGGTTTGGGATCTCACTAGCAAAATAGATGCCCACCATATTATACTTTATAATTTATCTATATAATTTACAGGCAAATGAGATCCCAAACTTTTTTTGGCTAGATCTACGAAATTAGTGTTTTTTTTATGATAAATCATTCAAGATTCAATCTTTTTGGGTCCTTTTCTTTCCAAATATTTCTCACCAACCAAACAGAATTTCTTACATTAATATTAACAAGGACAAAATCGGCGTACCGCATGGTTCTGAAAATCCACGCCGGTGCAATTAGCTAGGAAGAAATAAGAACCGGGTTCCCGCGATATCGCCGGTTGAATTCTTCCGATGGGTTCAGCGACGGACCGAAATTCAAGAGTGCCCACGCAAGTAGAAGCCAACAGGGGGGTGAACACCATGTGATTCCTCGGTGAAACGCATACGACGTCGTACATCTTCGTATCAATGTCCTTTATAAGTCTACACCCAGCCCAGCCCGAGCCCAACACCACCACCCTGGGCTTCTCGTCGCCTTTCGTCGGCCCCAAACCGCCTTGCCTGGTGGCGGCCGATTCGGACTCTGTGCTAAACTGCAATAATTGGGTTAGCGAAGGTGAGACTATGGATTTAGTGGGTTTGAGTGGCGATCGTTTAATGGTGGAGAGTTGGATTAGATTTCTAAACCAAGACATCTTGCGAAGATCACTGTTTTATTATCTCTCAACGAATGCTTTTTCCTCTATGAAACGAAGAACAGAGTAAGTGTCAATTATTTGAGGGTTCAATCGAATCTGCTAAATTGTGGGAGTGGAGAAGAGATCGATGGTGACACTGACACCCAGTAGAGACCGGTGGCAACTTGATTGATAATGGTCCATCCTCCATCGTATATTTTTGGATAAATAACGGTTTGACCCAAGATTCTAACATAGTAACATATACTCGATTTATTTATGAAAATTATAAATTATAAATTATACTATAAATATGTCACAAAAGTAGCTCAAAAACTAGCTGCTGTTTGTGCCATTTACAAAATAGTAGCTGCTTTTTGGGTGTAAAATGGACAGTAGAATCACGTGTAAAACAGTTAGTGGATCAAATTTAATTTGTATCTAATTTCAATTAGTTGAATACCTATATAATAAATTAGTTAGGAGTTTAAATGTTTATCCTTAATTTTTTTTTTCAAATCCATCACTTCTCATTCATTTTACCGGCACCATTTTCACTTTCAGAGGTGTCAGATGCAATGCCGCCTCTCTCCTTTGTCCCTTTTTCTTCTTTATTTTTGTTTCATTTCTCTCTCCCTCCCTCCGTGTTATTGTCAGCGCCAATCACATCGTTATAGCTACCACCACACCCCTCCCAAATATTTCTCCCTCTTTCACACAGACACACGTAAACCCTCCCCCTAGCTCCCCTTATGTGAAACCCCCCCCTCTTACCCCTCTACAAAACCCACCCCAAAAAATAATACCCACAGATGAGTATCAAGCTTTCATTTTGTGCATTAAAATCAACATGCGCCACCTGTTTGACGATTTGTGTCAAAGAAACACACATAGAGACACCTCTTTGTTAACCCACATATGACGTGTATTTTGATTATGAGTTTGGACATTTTGATTATGAGTTTGGTCATTTTGAGGGATAAAATTGTATTTTCTATGTCATCTGTGTGTTTTCTTTTGGTTATTGCATACCCGAGTTATTAATATTTTGTAGTTGTAAGCTTTACTTCTTTCATGGTATATACAGGTTAAAGAATTAATATAGGCAATTTATTAGCTAATTTATATTTTTTGTACTTTACCTTTTATCAAATTGATATGATACGATGGTTGAATATTTTGTATTGGACTTTATTTGCACACACCAGTGTTTATATTGCTACAATGGTTGAATATTTCTTTTTTGTTAAGGTTGGACCGGTGTGATGATGAGTCCAGTATTTAAATTTGGGTATAAATTGTAACATTAGTAATTGTCTATACAGGTTGATATTTTTGTGGGGCCCTATTTTTAGGGGAAATTTTGATCCATTTTTTTTTAAGAATGTAACACCCCAAAAATCGGGGGTCCTTAATTTAACAAAATTAGGGCAGAGTCTTTTTTATACGGGGAGTTCTACCCAAAATACAACCTGTGTAATTATTCTACATTGACCACACCGGGTCTATTTACCCATCAAATAATAAAATTTCATTCACCACATGTAATATCCACCATATTATCCCAAAATAATAGGCCAAGCTATGATACTTACATTCCAAAAGAATTATACTAAAATTTAGACTATACATGATTGTAAGTAAATTCCTTAGTCTAGCACAAAAATAAACTATAACTTTAGATGTTCACCTCGGGATCTAGGTTCCCCTCTGGTGAAACCTCCCAATTTTCTGGTTCGTCAACGTTGAGATCTTCCTCTAACACGAAATCTAAAAACAAATATTATTGGTAGGGGGTGAGCTCTACGCACTGTAGGAAAATCCTCCCAAACTTTAACAAGGTTTGGAAAAGGTAGACAATGGTCGGTCTTATTTCACAAATACCATACATAAATTTTAAAGAAAACATGACATTTTCAAAAATCTCAAGTTTATACATTAACAATAATTAAGTGCAAGAGTAAAGTCAATCCCACCATAAATAACCATTTCAAAAAGTAATTATTCCCACAATAATTTCTAAGATAATCATATCCAAAAGATAACGCAATAAACAATAATCACAATGTATCTCAAGTCTGATGTAAGATAATCGCATGAATAAACACATAGAGAATATCCTGGCCCACACACACACAATTCCTTGCAAGGATAACAACTTTGGGAAGGGCGCCTACTGATGCATTGTTCCATACCAATGCACCGGCAATAACGAATCCGACCCAGGCATAGTATACTAATCATTTGACACGGCATCCGTGAGCTAATAGTGGTTTGGTCCTCGCAAGGCATCAATCCCACTACGAATGGTAGGAAAAGTTGAAACCCACACGGAGTAAGAACCACACACATCTACCCACTCTACGATACCTGATTAATGGCCACTCATGGTCATCCAAACACCTCCATGAGATACAATCATCAACAATTTCTCAAACACACTCAATTCCATAAATCCTCAATTTTTCATATCTAAATCCACATTTATTTTATAATGGAATAATTTAAGAAAAATTAACAAGAGATCATCATAAATACCATTTTGTTGTTCAATACGAAATACTAAAGTTTTGAAATCAAGAATAAAGGAGAAATCAAGAAAAAAACCCACTTCTCTTGAAATCTAGGGTTTTGAATATGAGAAAAGAACTTTTATAGTTACCCAACTATCCCATTATTTAAAACATCCTAACATTTGTAAAAATATCAAAAATTCATGATTTCATAGCATATTAATATGATGTAGAGTCAAAGAAAACATATATGTATAACCCTAGTTTCAATGTAAGAGAATGAAAGAAAACCCCTACTTGAATCAAATTTTCAAGTAAGAACCCAAGCTTTAGTCTTCCCTTTTCTTCCTTCCTTAATCTTCCTCTAAGGTTCCAAGAGGTGTGGGGTGAGAGTGAAATGAAAAGAATGGAAGTAAATGGGATGAAAATGGGTTTTTAAACACAACAGCCCCGATTTTTACTGTTCACAGGCTGATTTGATTTTTTCCAAAATTACGATTTTACCACTAAGAATGTCCAATTTGATCTATATGACTACCATAAGGTTTTTCGACGTTCCGGATTCATTTTTAATGTTATTTTAACCTAAAAACATTTATTTTTATGAGTTATCTCAAAAGTAAAATAAATTTACACTTGAAACACGAAAATTACTATTTTATTCATTCGAACCGTTATATGTGCCAAAAGGCTATTCTAAGTTTTTTTCGGATCTCTCAGGTTCAATGATAATATTATTTTGACCTAAAAAAATTTATATTTTTACTTAGTTACCCTTATCAACCTTAAACACCTCCAAAAATTAAATTTCACCATTAATTTGCCTCCCTAGTATTTATTTATACTATTAAAATCTATAAGGTTCATGCATACCTTATCACCTAGATTAGCATTTTAAAAATAATTACTTGCTATATAAAGATAAGAGTGTGGGGGTTTATAATCCACCCCCTTAAAGAAAGTTTCGTCCTCGAAACTTACGTTAAGTAGAGAACAGATGAGGGTACTTCTCTCGCATCTCTAACTCTGGTTCCCAAGTAGTTTCCTCCACGCCATGGTGTTACCACAAAATTTTCACTAATTTGATGACTTTATTACGGAGCACCTTCTCTTTGGTATCAAGAATCTTCACTGGTTGTTCTTCATAGGTGGCTCCATCTTGAACTTCAATATCCTCCAAATCTATAACATGCGTGGTCTCCGAATAACACTTCCTCAACATCGACACATGAAACACGTCGTGTACTCCGGATAACTGAGCTGGTAATCAAAGTTGGTACGTCGCTTTACCCACCGCTTTGATCACTTCAAATGGTCTTATGTACCTTGGAGCGAACTTTCTCTTCTTGCCAAATTGCAACACTCCGTTCTTGGGTGATACTTTAAGAAACACGTAATCTCCCACCTTGAATTCCAAGGGTCTTCGTCTTTGATCCGCATAGCTTTTTTGTCGACTTTGTGCCGTGCGTAATCTCTCTCGGATGAATTGAATTTTCTCTGTAGTTTCTCGAACAATTTTCGGCCTAAACAAGCTACTCTTGCCAGCTTCCAACCAACAAGTTGGGGACCTACATGGTCTTCCATATAACGCCTCATATGGTGCCATCCCAATACTTGTCTGATAGCTGTTGTTGTATGCAAATTTCACCAACGAAAAATGATCGCTCCAACCTCCCTTGAAGTCCAACACACAAGCACGTAACATGTCTTTTAGAATCTGGATCACCCTCTCGGATTGGGCATCCGTTTGGGGATGAAAAGCTGTGCTGAAATGCAACTCTATCCCCATAGCTCTTTGAAGACTTTGCCAAAATTGTGCTACGAAACGAGAATCACGATATGACACAATGGATAGTGGAACTCCATACAATCTCACTATCTCACAAATATAAAGCTTGCTCAGGGTCTCTGATGTGTTGGTGATCTTCATACTCAAGAAGTGAGCGGACTTGGTGAGTCTATCAACAATGACCCATACAACATTATGCCCTCGTGAAGTCCATGGAAAGCCAGATATGAAGTCCATGGTGATGTGATCCCACTTTCACTCGGGAATAGGCAAGGACTGTAATAATCCTCTGGATTTTTGATGCTCAATCTTCACTTGCTGACATACCACACATTTTGAAACGTATCTAGCCACATCCTTCTTCATTCCCTTCCACCAATACTGTCGCTTCATGTCTCTATACATTTTGGTACTATCCGGTTGTATGGAGAACTTGGAACAATGGCACTCGCCCAACACTTTTTTCCGTACTTGGTCATGATCGGGTACACATAGCCTTCCTCAAGACCATAACTTATCATCACTTATCGCCCAATCCTCAACAATCTCACTTCTCTCCAACTTACTCCGGGTAGCCTCCAACTCGCTGTCTAATCGTTGTAATGCCACAATCCTTTGTCGAAGCATCGGTTGAGCTACAAGATTGAATAGGCATGGTCGATCCTCTTGTCTATCCACCCATAGATTAAATTCCTCCAAAGCATCCATCATTTTCC